TGGACATAAAAAGCAGTAAGAATATTGATGAGTTTAAACACAGATATAAAGGTATGTGTCAATCAAGATATAGGCAAGAACAGGCTTAATGATTAATCAGATGGGAATGTGGATGTAGAATATGTATCCATGTAGTAATACTGCTTGCAAACCAATGATGATAAGATGATGTTAGGGGGTAGGACTAGATAAGTCTAACTTCTTCCTACTCCATTCAAGCATGTACTAGGTATAAGCAAATTGATAATATATTTGTGGATATGTGTGGAATTATGTGTGTTGACATATTGACTGTTGTTACATGTTTGAAAGAATAAATCAAATCAAAATCAAATCATTTCTGCAAGTTTGTGTTCTGCTTGTTTAACTGCTCATACAGTCTGTTACTGGCTGGTTGTTGCACTGTGGAGTGATCCTTCTGTTCCTCTGTTCAGCTGCGAGTGTGTGAGAGAGAGGAGCGTAGCGAGGATGCCAACAGGCTACTGTACTCTGAAAGAGATGTAGCTGCCTGCTAATAGCATGCTCAGATAATGAGCACTCACAACCATAGACATATTTAAATAGGTCTATGCTCACACCTCGAAAAACTTCGGAACAAATTCTAAATTGGCATTACCTGGATAGACTGACCGCATATTCTCAATCTCAGTGGTTACTTTGTCCCCTGAAAAAATGCCAAAACCTAAAATGGCACATCAGTCCAACAGATGAAAATGAAAACAGCTTTGAGCCCAGCTTCAAATCGCTGCCATCAGGCTCTCACCCAGCTATCACTGAATAGAGTAGAGCTTCCCCCAACTGTCAGCTGTCACCTCACTGGGCTCCTTCAGGCCCTGTTTCACACAGCGGGGTGTGGCTAATGAGTGACAGCACTTGGTTTCAACTGACAATGAATGGGCAGCGATTGCTGACCCAGGGATTTGCCTTCATATGTCCTCAGAAGCGCAGCTGTGCACTTTGGCCACAAGAGGGCTCATATACAGTAAGCAGCCTATGCAGCACTCAGTGGTGAAGAATCTTCAAAAATATTCCTGTATACAATTTACGATATGATCAGCACCAAAATCTAACCAATTAAACTAACCAACACTTTTCTAAAAGCCTTACTGTAAACCTGTTACAGTAGTGCTCTCTCCATTCAAAAGAATGTTTGTCATGTCATCTAAAATAATGACCCCACTTTTCCCACATTCAATTATCAGCTGTGTTAATGTAACGCAGTCACGAATCATCTGTTGTCTTATTTGTAATACATACTCAAACACAGAGCACCAAAAGGTTGCCTTCAAGCCGCTATGCATAGAAAACAATGGTGATGCTACCCAAAATGATACCATGGAAGACAGCAGTATGTGTGGAGGTGGAACAAGTCATCTTTCGTGCTCACCCTCATTGAGCTTAGCCATGTCCATACTGCCGTTGTTCATCTGCAGAGTTGCCTGCAGTGCTGGGAGGAGCTGATGCAGGAGGGCAGGGTCCTGTAGCAGTGCTGGTGATGGGGACTGGACAGTTTGGGGCACCTGCCCGGAACAGGCAGATGAAGAGGACATGATGGAGGGGACAGCGCCCAAAGCTCCAGGTGCAGCATTTAGGCCCTGAGAAGAAGAGGAGGAAGAGGAATGGCCGGAATTGGATGGTGTGAACTGGTCCGCTGATGTGGTCTCTGTGGAGACAAGCAAACCAGAAGATGCTATATTTTCTGTTTTACTCCAAGAAGTAAACTACAGCAGAAAACCTTTTCTGTATCAAAGATGTCTACCCAGAAAAGGATCAACAAGGTAGGATCAATGTGAGAGAGGATGCTGTTTAACAACTTGAACCAAATTAGAATCAGAATCTGCTTTATTGGCCAGGTGTGTCGGACACATGAGGAATTTGACTCTGGTACATCGCCTCTCAATGTGCATCTACATATCTCCATGCAAGTGGCAAGTAAACAGTAAACCAACATAAGGCTGTAACAAAATAAGCAGTATTAACAAGCAACAAACAGTCCAAACAATGCAAAATAAACAGTAAACAGGCAATAAACAATGCAGACAGACAAGGAATGCTCATTGTGAAATGGGATAAGTAGGAATAAAAATAGAGTACTTAAAAATAGAGACCTGTACAAATCTGTATAATCTGTACAAGGTATATTTACAGGTATTGCACTGAAGGTTATTGTCCAGTCATACTGTTGTTGGTTAAGTGTTCATCGGAGTGACGGCCTGGGGGAAGAAACTGTCCCTGTGCCTGGTTGTCTTGGTGCACAGTGATCTGTAATGCCGTCCAGAGGGGAGGAGTTCAATTACTAAGGATTTATAGTCGAGTCATCTTACTTGTTGTGACTTTGTCCTGAAAAGCCTCTTGTCTATAGTCCATATCCCTGGGGAAACTGTTTGCCACCATCTTGACTGACTCTTTCTGTCGTTGTTCCCTGAAAAACATTAATTAAAGAGAATGCAGTCAGAACGTACCATAAGCTAATATAATATATTCGTCTGAGACCAGTACCGTAATTTCCGGACTATAAGCCGCACCCACTAAATGTAAGATGAAAAAACATGCTGTACATAGCCGCAGGTGTCCACGTTGTAACATGAGATATTTCAACAGCCAGATTGATCACCTGTTACTTGAAGCGGCATCATATGCATTTCGTCGTGTGTTGTCCACGATGAGGGTGTGTGCATGAAGCGACAAAAGTAGCTGCTTATAGTCCGGAAAGTACGGTATACTGATCTAGTCATGTATCTCTCTGCTTCAAGTTAAAAATGGAATAGTCTCTCAAAGCATGTGAGCTTGCCTCTCCAACAGGTCCTTGGGCTTCTCCCACTGGGAGACCTCAGTTCTACAGTTGTAGTAGTACTTCTTCCCAGAAGAGCTGATGTGTTCTGTCCAATCATCTGCTGGGTCCTGGTGCAGAAAGAGACAAGACATGACATATTCTAATGGATCAAAGAGCTTAAGTTAAAAAGTATGGCTAATCATTTTTGGACTTCAAATATGATAACATGAGAACACAAAACTATCACTTCATATGGATACTGTATATGTAAAAGCTCATGTTCCTTCAATAGATAAACATCCCTCACTTCCCAGTCATTCCAACCAATCAAGGATGGCCATACCTTTCCTCATTTTTGTCCTCATCTACACCTGCATAGATCTATCTTGGGGAAAAAAGCATTAGCTGGCATTTTACGCCAGAAGCCCTTCCTGCTGCAACCTGGATTTGAACCTGGGGCGCCACTAGTCTACCAGGGACGGCTCTAATTATCAGTAGACGTATACCAGCAAAATACTATCTTGACACTTACTCTTGCTAAGGCTGAACTTCAAAGTGTCTTGGTCTCTTTTCTGTTTGGGTTTGTACTTGATGAATTCACCACTCACCTTTCTGTCTATGGATTCACAAAGGTGACTAGAGAAGAAAAAGCATGCTCTTTGATCTACTTCTTTTCCATCAAACTCAGATGTTGACGATAACATATGCACTGTTCTCCACTCACCACCCATATTGAGCATTTAGCCTTAGTG